AGCTCTTTCATCTGAGCATCCTCTTCTGTGTACGGATCCTTGTAAGCCTGAAACATCAGGGGCTTTTTCGACACCTCCATCAGCCCCCACATCCAGTCAGTCCCCAAGTCCTCGCCGGTCTTTTGGCAAATGATTTTTGTGTTCATTGGCCTTGACACTCCTCAAATATCGACCCTTATTGATTCTTCCTGGTTCATAGCAATGTCCTCGTTAACTAGCCTCCCAGTGGCCACTATCCCATTTCTAATCCGTCTTAGACACCAGCACCAAACCTAAATGGAAAATGACTGTACCTTCCCATTTTTGTGTCCTGAGCATACAATACAGAGCCAGGCCTATAGAAAGTGCCTGTGGTAGGTTAAAGATGTCCCCCGTTTCTTTGCTCCTGCTCCCATTGAGAGGTGATGTCTAATTCCCTTTCTCTTCAATCTGAGCTGGTTTTAGAGACTTGGTAACCAACAGACTGTGTGGAAAGAAGGTTGTGGGACTTTTGAGACAATGTCATAAGAAGCCTTGCAGTTTCCAGCCAGGTCTCTTGGGATACTTTCTCTCAGAGCCATGAGCTACCGTGTAGGAAGTCCCACTATTCTGAAGCCATCAGGCTGTGGGAAAACCGAAGCCTCATGGAGAAGCCACTTGCAGGGGCTCTAGTCAACGGGTCAGCTGAGCTCCCCAAATGGGATCTCCAGTGCTCAGCTGACCCCATGAGTATCAGAGATGAACTGTCCAGCTGAGCCCTTTCCAACTTCCTGACACACAGAATCATGAGCAAAATAAAATGGTTGTCCTAGGATTGTTAGTTTCGGTGTAGCTTGTTATGCACCAATAGATAACCAAAACCTGATCAAAACTGTTTGTTGAATGAATGAAGGATTCATTGGCAGTAATGTGCTGATGGTGTCACTGCCCTATTCAAGAGCTCCCTATTGCTGGAAAAATAATGTTTAGTGCCTTTAGTTGGCATTCAAGGTCCTCCATAATTTGGTGTCAGCCTGCTTTTCAGACCTTCCCCGGTATGTTTCCAACATCATCTCTTTTTACTTATCCGTGCTTTCTCCACCCAAATGTCCTTTTTACCCACATTCCCACCTCAGAACATCAACATTTAACTTGTCCTTTGAGACTTTTGTCAGATGCCTACTCCGGCTGCCCAATTGAGCAGTGAGCCCTCCCCTTTCCGTCCCTAGTTTGTTTGATGTTTTTCTAACTCTTCTTCCTTCATTTACCCTGCTCTTCATTTCTTACCCCCAACTCGTGTGTTTTGTGTGTGTGTGTGTGTAGGGGGAAGTCAGGATGTGGGCCCAGGCACATAAGGAGGCATACAAACATGTTGTGTGTGGCCTCCCAGGCGTGAATCCCTACAGAGCTTGAGTTGGAACTGGCCAGCTCATCATCTGGCACGTTGTGTCTCCCAAGCTAGGTGTTCACATCCCTGAAGGGAGGAAGGGTATTTAGAAGCAGCACAGGCTTTGGAGTCAGCTCAGATTTTAGATCATAATTATGTCACTTACTGTGTGGCTTTGGGCAAGATGCATAACCTCTCTGAGCTCAGTTTCCTTATTTGGAAACTAGAGACCTAATCAGAAGGTGTGCAAAGGCCCAGCCCTGTGCTTGGCTCATCACAGGCCATTAACCACTGCTTGCCAAGTAAACACAACAGAACAGAACTGCCTGATGCTCAATTGTTATTATGTTAATTATGGAGAGAACTCTCCAGCATCAAAAATAAACACATTTTAAAAATTTTTTGAAATTTCAAAAAGGAGCGAAGAACAAAGAACAAGAGAAGAGTGAAAAGGCACATCAGAGGCCACCTGGCCAAGCCCAACTACGTTAGTCGTGCGACCGGGTGCCCCACTGGGGTCTCAGTCTTCTCATCTGTAAATTGGGCGGTGGGCACTGGAATCTAAGCTCCCCTCCAGCACTGACATTCCAAGAGCATTAAAGAAAAAGGATGAATCACCCCTTCAAAATACCAATATGGGCTGGGCCCTCCCCCTGCTGTCCCCATCCAGCACAGCTAAGAGCTCTTAATACACAGCCAGCTTCCTCCTGCAGCTGCCACCAAACTTCAACCCCCTTTCCCAGGGGTCTCAGAAGCAAGACTGATAATGGACCCCTGGCCTTCTCCGGCTCAACAGGGAACCAGATCTTGTTCCCAGACTCTGGGGGCCAGAGGGCCCTCCCCTGAGGGTGCTGGCTTTCTGTGGACATTTGGCTTGGGTATACTTGTGTGCGAAGTGTGGGAGTGTTGGAAGGGCGGAAGGAAGGAATAAAGGGAAGAGATGAAGATAGAGCGTTGGTGATTGATTTCCTGCAATCATGGCAGGAGGGCTGGAGTGGTGGAAACCTTGCCATTCTCGTCCAGGATTTTGAAAAAGTGGTTGTGTCTGTATCTGTAATGGTTCTAAGTCTCCATCCTGGGGAGGCACGGTGCCCCAGCAGCTGCATAAATTCATAAGCACAGGCTGTCAAAGCCACAGAAGACACCAAGATCAATTTTCCTCCTCACAGGAGATAGACACTAGGTGACCGCAGAGGACAGTTTTCTTGCCTCTCTGCCCAGAGCTCTCTACTCCTTTCCGCGTCGAGGCTATTATTAGTATTATCAACATTAATAATAATGGAGACGTAACCGGTAACCGGCTGTGCATTAGTCACAATGTTCCAGGAGCCTGCACCACCTTCATTCTCTTCTGGGACTGCCTGGATCCTGCTGGGTCCTCCTCTCCGCGTCCGGAGCGGCTTGGGGCCCTGCCCTTTGGTCTGTCTGTGCGGTGGTCTGTCTCTTGCCCGTCACGTCTGCAGTAGCCCGGGTCCTCCTAGCTCACACCGGCTCCGGCTCTGAAAGCCGAGAAGCTCGCCGGCTGCGAGCGGGTTTTCCAAGTGGGCAGGGGTGGGGAGGAGGGGCGCGGGCGGGCGGGCGGGCGGGCGGAGGGAGGAGGGGGCGTCGCGGAGGGGAAGACCTCGCATTGTAATCCAATGACATTGCCAACGTGGGGGTGGGGGCGCTGGCCTCCGCGCGCTCTCCGAGTTTTGGCTGCCCGCCCAGCTGGGAATAACTCTCTTCGCATAATTCGCGTGTTTACCAGGCATGAAAATTCTTGCTTTCGGCTCCCCCCCCACCGCCCCGTAAGCCCCCTCCTCTGCCCCCTCCCCACCACCTCCGCCCCTCGCGAGTGAAACTCTGTCTAAAAAAATATTGGCCCGGGGCACAGAAAGTTTTGCATAAATTCATAAGTGATGAATGGCTGATTTTAACGTTATTTGGGTATTTGTCAGAACTTAACAAATATACATGGGGACGGCGGTTCATAAACTTAAACATCTCAATATCCCCTTTCTTCTGGAAATAAATTACGTTTGTTTGCCCGGCTTGGAGTCTTAAGGTAGCCGACATTAGGAATATTTTAAAAGCCATCATCCATCGAGCATGTCTCCCAGGCGCCAGGAAGATTAAATGAAAGAATCATAAGATGGAGGTCTTTAACTTTTAATCCTTTTACAATGAAGCCTCAGATAGTCGCGGGGGCAGGGTGCCCTCTCTGGGGGGAATAATGCCGTTATTCCTCGGCTCTCAGTTAATGAATACCCTAACGTCTGTCCCACGGCTGACGGAGGCAGCGCCGGGGAGGGGGCTCCGGCTCCCGGGCCAGGCTATTGAAATGAGGAGCCACCGAGGCTGCGTCGGGAGGGAAGAAAGCGCCCGGCTGGAGGGACAGGGCGGGCGGGGCCGGGGGCATTGAGACTGCGCTGGGGACCCGGCGCAGGTTTGAAATAATTAGCATAGATTCGCCGGGACTCCGAACCCCGGGGTGGGGGTGGGGGGGGGAGGGATGCCGGGAGGGAGGCGCGGGGAGGTGGCAGGGGGGTGGGGAGGGAGCAAAGGAGAGCGACTTTGGAGTCCAAGATAAATAAAGGGAGCGCTGAGCAGTGTCAGGAAGCCGGCCCACGTGGAGCTGCGCGGATGGGCGCCACCGCGGACTGAGGCGGAGGGACGCACGCGAGTCGAGCGCCAGCCCCAAGAAGTTGGCTTTTTAAGGGGTGGGTGAGGGTGGTATTTTGCACGTCCCTTAAGGGGTAACACGTCTTCTGCCCCTCTCTTAACCCAAAAGCTCAAAGATCCCGATTCTGAGAACTCCTCCCTCCCCACCCCCAAACGGAGTAAGTGTCGGGGGGGGGGCGCACCCCGTTCCCAACTGCAGATCCCTGTGGTGGCATTTTTCACCCAAATTCAGACCCCTCCGAAATCCTGACCCTCAGAGTCCTCCTTAGGTCCTGGGGCACGGGGGTGGGGGGAGGAGGCGAGTGTCAAATCACCCAGTTGTCCCCAGCAATTCCAGCTGAGGGCCTGGGATTTGGGGGGCTCAGACCTGCAAGATCCCGGAGCCTGAGTGTTGATTCCAAAGGACTGGATCACTTCAGCGTGCATCACCGCAGCTTCTGGGCGTGCAAAGGGTTAACATGGGCTGGTTATTGATGGGGGGAGGCCGGTGCAAGGCGGGAGGGGTGGCGGGATCTGGGTGGGCGCGCTCTGATCTCTCCCCCCCCCATTCCTCGGGGGTCAAGTTTCAGCGGCACTCCGCCCCCAGGGTAGGTGTGAAAGACACGTGTCCCCATTGTGAAGGGCCTGTCAGGCAGGACAAAGCGGCCGCCCACCCTCCCCCCCACACCCCCCCGCCCCTCGGCCCAGCCTGGGGTCAGCTCCAGGGGGCCGGCTGGGTGTCGAGGTCAGGACGGGCCCGAGCTTCGGTGACATAGCGAGAAAAAGCTGGGAGACTGGGCGGAGGCCACGTGATGCTCCAGTGAGGGGTTTGAGAATAACCCGCCCCCCCCCCATGAAAAACTGAGCGGTCACCTCCAACACACCAGAAGAGGGGATGAGCCCCTTCTCCCAACAGGCATCGTAAGCACAGCGGCACCCCTACCCGCCCCCTTCAGCCCGCACACCCCCCATCAATCACCAACACAGAGAATCGCAGTGTCGAGCGCAGTCGATTTTAGTGGTTTTCTTTAATCCTGCTCTGCACTTCTTTCTCATTTACTACACGGGATATTATAAAGAATAAATAGCAGATACTCTTAATTTACAATGATTAGTCATTCCATTTGTTCTCTATATTTACAATAACTGTAAAATAACATTGAACTCTATAGCTTCTTCGAGGTCCAAGGAAAACCAAAACACTTTCCGAAGAATGGAAAATAGCTTTTTAAAAGTCCTTCTACAAAAGTTCTCCCCTCTCTTTGTACTTTAAGAAAAAATAACTTTTCCCCCCTGCTTCGCCATGCGAAGGGCACTGGAATATAAATAGCAGGTTAACATTATTAGCGACAACCAGAATAAGTCTCTCTTTGCTCTGTTCTTTTTTTTCCTTTTGCTATTTTTTTTTAAAAATACAGTAGAAGCCGGTAACTTTTAACGTATAATACTGACCTTTTAATAAGTAAATTAAAACTGGGACCGTATATACACACACATATACATTCCTACACAGTTAAACAGTGCATTACATGAACCAGAAAGCTAGGTCTCTGTAGCCAGAAAAAAAAAAAAAAGTTCATTGAATCCCCTCGCGAGAGGGTGGTGGAACTGGTTGGAGACGGTGCGGGGGGGGGGGGGGGGGGGGCGTCGGTGGGGTTCCATCAATTGTCCGGGTGCGGGAAGGGGACCCCGAGTTCTAGCATGAGCACTTGCACTCGGAAATGATGGGGTACTGGATGGGAATCCAGCCGCAGCGCTGGCCCCCGCGCCGCTGACAGCGCCACCGCAGCACCGTGAGGTGCACGGACTTGGACGGCTTGCACACCATGCCCTCGGGCACGGAGCACGAGCGCTTACTGAAGCAGCTGCCCACCTTCACGTAGCGCGGCCAAAAGCGGCTGCCCAGGTCGTTCCACGCGTACAACACCGGGCAGAAGGTCTGCGACCACAGCCACATCTGTAACTTCCTCCGCAGCTTCTTGCTCAGGCGCTGCTTCTTGCCCGGGGCCAAGCCCTCGGAGAACTCCAGCCCTTTGATCTCGCTCGGCATGGCCCCCGACGGCCGCTGCCGCAGCAGCTGGTCCAGCTCGGCCAGGTCCTCGGCGCCCCCGGCCGCCCCCCCGCCCCCGCCGGGCCGGTCCTCGGGGGGCGAGGTGGCCATGAAGCCCGGGTCGTAGTGGCCCCCGAGCAGCGAGCGCAACAGCGTCTCGTTCAGATCCTTCTCTTTGGGGTCAAAGATAGGGTCCGGGTGTTCGATGAGGTCCACCAGGGGCAGGTTGTCGCTGGGAGCCGGGCGGATGTGGAGATAGTGCTGGCCTCCGGCCGGTGCCGCCCGCAGCCCCAGGACCACCACCAGGGCGTAGAGGGTGACCCCCAGGCTGGGGCAGCGCTCCATGCCTCCGGCGCGCGCCCGGGGCTGCTGCTTCGTCCCGCGTCCCCGGAGGAGAGCACGCCGAGCCCGCGGCGCCGCCGCGCTCCCCCGTCTCTCCGGAGGCGGCTCACCCGAGGCTGGGCAGGCGCAGGGCCGGCAGCATGAGTCGCCGGGAGAGCCCTTCGCGCAGCGCCGGCTCCCACCGGGGCGGAAAGAAGGCACACAAGTTGGCCGCAACTCCTCTCCCGGGTCTATTCGGGCAGGCGGCCGCGGCGGGGCATCCGAAATTACTCCAGGGCGACGGCGGGCGCAGGGGGCGCCGGCTCCTCGCTGCCTTCCCGGGCCGGCGGCGGTGCAGGGCGCGTGGACGAGCCGCTCTCCCCTCCTCCTCCTCTCGCTGCTCGTCGTCCTGCCGCTCTGTGCAGCGCCGCTGGCCCAGCGGGTCCTAGGGGCACTTCCCTCCGCCTGCTCCGGGCTCCGCGGCCGGCTCTGCCCGGCGGACTCCAGCGGCGGCGGCGGCGGCGGCGTCCGCGCACGTTGGCACCGGTTTGTCTGTCTCGCAGGGTCCAAGCCTTTAAATTTCCTGCACTTTCAGCTCCATCACCATGGAAACCACTGACTCTCTCGGCGTTGCCCCCTCCCCCTTCTTCCCCCCAAACAACAACCCCACCCCCCACTTCTCCACCCCCGAGGAGCTGGAGCGGCACAGGCTCCGGGGGGAAGCCGCCTGCACTCGCCGCGGCGGCGGCTTCGGCAGCGCCCAGGGCTGTGCCCCGCCGGACCCAGATGCCCCGGGAAGCCGACAGTCCGGCTGCCCGCCGGAGCTCACAGGCGGCTGCGGCGGCGGCGGCGGCGGCGGCGGCGGCGGCAGCGGCGGTGGCGGCGGCGGTGGCGCTTGGCAGGTCTCCGCGCAATTTTCTCTCTCCCCCACCACCCACCCCCCTTCTCCTCCTCCTGCAAAATGCACCGCCCCCCTCCTTTCTCCTGGAGCAATGCAACTGGGGCTCTAGGCGCCCCGCCAGGGCCAGTCCTGGGGAAAGCTCGCGGCGGCGCTGGAGCCGGGCTGGAGGGTGCAGGGCCGGTTTTGGGGGGTGCTCGAGGTGGGGCTGTGAGGGTTCTCACTAGCTGGGTGCTTTGCACGGGGAGGGGAGCAGCGGGGAGGTGCTGGGGGCTCGTTTCTCCGTGCAGTCCCGCGCAAGGAATTTCTCCATGTGCATGGAGATTTTTCCCCCCGGGCGCGTCTCGCCTTCCTCTCTCCCAAGCTTGGTCTAAGTCCCCTCCCCCAGCACACACACACACACACACACACACACACACACACACACACACACAC